TTTTCCGCGACGGGCTGTATTTTGTGAATGGTTTTTAAACAACTACGGTGAACTTCATAATATCACCTTTTTTTCTGATGAAGCCTGGTTTCATTTAAGTGGTTACGTAAACTCACAGAATATGAGAATGTGGTCTTCTGAAAAACCAGATAACTTTTTTGTCGAGGGCCCTCTACACGCTCAAAAAATTGGAGTTTGGTGTGCTCTCAATCGAAGGAGGATTTATGGACCTATTTTTTTTAATGGTACTCTTACTGCGCAAAGGTATAGAGAAGAAATTATCGCTCCTTTTGTTAACCAGCTGGAAGAAAACGAAATTACAAACTTTTACTTTCAACAAGATGGCGCAAGGGCACATACGGCAGGCGAGACGATGAATATGTTGAGGGAAGTTTTCCAAAATCGACTAATAAGTCTCAATGCTGAACATGAATTTCCACCGAGGTCATGTGATATTACGCCGTGTGATTTCTTTTTGTGGCCTTACCTTAAAAACACTATTTTTGAACTGCCTATTCCTGATTTAAACCATCTGCAGGCTCGACTTATAGACAAGATTCGTGAAATTAACAATACCCCGAGCATCTTAGAAAATGTCTTTAATTCTTTGAGGAACAGGTGTGAAAAGTGCTTGGAACAAGGAGGGGGACACTTTCAGCAGCTGCTTTAATTTATTGTTATAACAAGGAGGGGGACACTTTCCGCAGCTCCTTTAATTGTTTGTTATTGTTATCACGATTATTCTTTAAAATAAAGTTATATAGTCATTAACGTTATTGAAACTGACAGCTGCTATACAGCTCGTTGAGAAATGAGGTTAAGTTGGTCGCTATAAGCTACTCCCTACGTCCAATGTGTCAGAGCCAACTTCGACCACGTTTTTATTTGAACGCTCGTTATTTGTAATTATTCAGTTTTCAAGGTTGAAAACAGTATTGCATTGTCGAAACCAAGAGTTGCATGAACAAAATTTGGACAAGACATAGCTAATACAATGGGAAACATCGCCTTAATGTTAAAAATGCTGTCACCGCCATTCTTGGTGGTGAAAATTCGAAATATTTGTAATTATTCAATTTTCGTGGTTGAAAACAATTTTTCATTGTCGAAACCAAGAGAGTTGCGCGAACAAAATTTGGACAGGACATAGCTAATACCAACGAATTCTCACCACTAGAAGGAACTTTGTGTATTATTATACATGTGTTTTAACTGTAGCAAACATCTAAACAAAGAACTACCTAATAAATAAAGTTGGATAGTGTCAAATGTAAACAATGAGACATAACGGCAGTGGCGTATTGTCAAAAAAGGCAAAATATTAAAATTTACAAAATACCAATACACATTTGAAAGGATTACTCATTTTATAAATAATTTTACATATTGGTGATATAATGAGAGGGTAAAAATTGAAGTAAAATTAATAAACTGTTTTTACTATACTCAAATTGTTTTGACATCAGTACTGATTAATTAAATGATTAATTAATTAATTTCTTTGGTTTTAAAGGAATAATAATAAGTTATAAGTCATAACTTTTATGACTTATAAAACCCACTAGTGACTTATAGAAATCATAAAAAGACAAATGTTTGGTTTATTTTTCCAGTTTTTATTAGAAAACCAATTTGAAACAGTAATGTCAACAAATAACATAAAATCCTACAAACTTACAATCTACCTACTTATTAATATTAACATCAACATTTATGGTAAAGCCGTAATTTGATATTTGAAGGAGCACCATCAAAAGTAAGAGAAACTATTTTGATACCTAATTCACTTAACAATTCTAAACATTTTTTTAACAAATTAGCTTTTTCTCCACCACTTAAACCGTTTGTCAAGAAGTACCCAATAGGCATTTTTTCCAATGACTATTTATAGCTACAACCATAAAAACAAGGGCTTCCGTAGCTTCTGGAATATTATCACCACGTATTCAATGCCGACATCAACATATCCAGTGAATCGTTTCCCATTGCAAATATCAAATTGCCCAAAATTTCACTGTTTGTTTCTCTTACTTTCATTTTAATAGCAGCCAATGCATCATTTGTAAATCCAGGTGTTCCATCTATAGATATGTACCACTTAGAAATTGTTTTTGTATGTGACAAAGCCATGTTAAAACTTCTTCTTGCCTAATTATAAGCATCTGTTGAATAAAAGCTTAACATTAAGGCAAGCGACCTAAGATCAGGTGAATACTTTTTACGAGATTGTAATTTTCTTGATATTTGACAGATTTCTCCTAACATTCCAGGTGCTGATTCCTAAAAATACATATTGGTTACAGACAGAAAGAATAAGTATTTTTCAACTTACATGAATGATACATTGAGCAGTTTCTGTTGTCATATTTCTTTTTCGAAAATTTCAGAAGAGAATTTAAGGCTACAAATTCTGGCTTTTAGACGACTCTTTGCCTGCTGCAGACTTCGGATCTTTATTGTTTGCATTTTTATTTTTTTCTTACAAATATTCCAATTTTTTTTTGCTTTTTTTGGACTATCCATGTCAGAAGTATGGCATTCTCCAAAATATCACGGATAAGGCCTTTTCCTAAAAATGATAAATTATCTATTCCAGATGTATTTTATATAAACAGTAGTGTTTATATAAAATAAAATGGTAATATATTTAAATAGGTAACAAGGTACAATTTTCTTGGTATTTTTTAAAATGTACTGAATAAAAAAAATGTTAGATAGGTAAGCAGATAGCAAAATTATAGGGTATTAGTTGTAGATACTTTACAAAGGATATATAATTTGTTAATTATATTTTTATAACTTACTTCACGTTTATAATTTTATTACGATTGGGTGAATCCATTCCTATTTCTGATGCAGTTAAAGTTGGTCAATGTTTTGGTGATATATGTAGCCTTATTTGTAGTCGATAACAAGCCTGATTGAGCACTCAGTGTCGATGACGATGAACATGTGGATATATTTTCTGGTTTTTGTTGCGGCAAGTGCAATGACTATTCCGTAAGAACATTATTTAGAGAAATATTTTCCTTATTAGAACTGTCTGATCTATAAAAATTAAATAAAAAGGTAAAGAGGTACTAGGTAACTGTAAAGGCTTTTTACTTGTATATTTTAATCAATATAAAAGTTAGTTTACCTGCTATAAGTAGAAGCTATTATTGGAATAGCTGTATCTCGTAAGTACTTTATACCTGATGGGTTTGTCAGAAAATCATTAATCGCAAAATGATCAGAACAAACAAAAATGTCGGTAATGTCACCTTCCACAAGTTTCTCCGTTCCAGATTCTTAGGAAATGTAAAAAATACAGGTATTACTCATAATATACTTATAATATTACTGAAACACGAAACGATATGTTGAACAATTAAAAAATATATATTTTTAATAATTTAGATAATGATTTAGTCAGTATTTTATCACTGCTAATTAAGTACTAAATGTAAAACACCCATATGTAATTCCTCAAACGCCGCTCATGTTGCTTGCTTACTTACCTGTGAAAAGACCGCTGCTCGCCCTTTTTAAATAAAACTTTCTAACCATGTCTTAGCACTAAATAAATGTTCATATATAAAAACTACACAACAATAAGAGGAAAATGCCACACTAACCCCAAATAAACTCAAATACGTTAATAGCGGCTACACACTTTTCCTCTGACAGCTGTCATCGACAATCATCGAAATGCGGACGTAGGCGGGAATATTAATTCGACCAATCGAAATTTGTGTCTCCTGAAGATCTGATTTGTTTATGTACATTCGCAAACAAATACATCCAAACCTCCTTCTAGTGCTTACAATTCGTTGGCTAATACAATGCGAAACATCGCCTTAATGTTAAAAATGCTCTCACCGTCGTTCTTGGTGGTGAAAAATCGAAATATTTGAAATTATTCAATTTTTGTGGTTGAATATAAAGTGACCCTCAAATTTCACATATAATACGAAAATGCAATAATATATAAGGTGTCCCATTTATAATAACGAAGTTGGTGTCGACTTCCGGTATAACCGGAAGTGCTGGAGGATTCTAGATATTTTAGTTGTGTTCGCCCTAAGGACGTTGCCAATTTTTCAAATTTTTCGTAGCAATACTTTCCCAGATATCGATCGATGCAGTTCCCGGTGGGACACCCTGTATACTATACCAGTAATTAATAATTATCAAAAGTTGCATGAACAAAATTTGGACAAGACATAGCTAATACAATGGGAAACATCGCCTTAATGTTAAAAATGCTGTCACCGCCGTTCTTGGTGGTGAAAATTCGAAATATTTGAAATTATTCAATTTTTGTGGTTGAATATAAAGTGACCCTCAAATTTCACATAGAATACGAAAATGCAATAATATATAAGGTGTCCCATTTAAAATAACGAAGTTGGTGTCGACTTCCGGTATAACCGGAAGTGCTGGAGAGTTCTAGATATTTTAGTTGTGTTCGCCCCAGGGACATTGCCATGTTGCCAATTTTTCAAATTTTTCGTAGCAGTACTTTCCTAGATATCGATCGATGCAGTTCCCGGTGGGACACCCTGTATACTATACCAGTGCATTGTCGAAACCAAGAGTTGCACTAACCAAATTTGGACAGGACATAGCTAATACAATGCGAAACATCGCCTTAATGTTAAAAATGCTCTCACCGTCGTTCTTGGTGGTGAAAATTCGAAATATTTGAAATTATTCAATTTTTGTGGTTGAATATAAAGTGACCCTCAAATTTCACATAGAATACGAAAATGCAATAATATATAAGGTGTCCAATTTAAAATAACGAAGTTGGTGTGCTGGAGGATTCTAGATATTTTAGTTTTGTTCACCCTAGGGACGTTGCCAAATTTTCAAATTTTTCGGAGCAATACTTTCACAGATATCGATCGACGCAGTTCCCGGTGGGACACCCTGTATACTATACCAGTAATTAATATTTATCAAAAATAAAAATTAAAAATGATACATCCAAATATAATTAATTCAAAAACACATACCTGACACGCGGATATCATTAAATAAAACGATTTTTCAAAGAAATATCTTGCATTCTTGTTGTTCTAACATCACCTTTGACAATACGCAAAAGTAGCCACGATAAATAAAATCTTATCGTTTGTGCAGTTTATTTATGCAATATTTTTTCCTCCTCGCAAACGGAATCAATAAATATTAATAGAACTGAATTATATACAAAAAACTAAAAGATGCCTAATTTGAGTTTTGATACTTTCCTCCACAAATTTTGTCCATTTTAATGAAGATAATTAGAAACGTAAATTAAATTTGATTTCCAATCATTTTTATTTACAGTAGATAACTAAATTATTATCTAAAGGTTTGCATCAATCCTATTTTTATTACAAGTACCTAGTAACAATTGAGTAATTCTATTCGAAATAATATTTTCTTTTTTGTGGAATGGCTCTTTTGATTTTTACTAGAACTTCTATCTATTTGTAAGATCACTCTGAAAACATATTAGCGATCTTATCTATTTTTGCCCCGTATAAAAACCCTTGCAGAGGAAATTCAAATCAGTGGTTTTAGCCGATTGACTATACCAAAGTACAAAATACCAACATGAAGGGTCTAGCAGGGATAATTTTGTTCATTTTCGTTGTTAGTGCCAGTTTTGATCTAGGTGAGTGAATTAAATTTAAAAAAAATTACGTTGAAACATGCCGTACTTGTTTTCTATTGTCTCTAATAAAAAATTCACCAGTTTGAGATCTGCCCATTTGGGTGGTCATCCCCTTTTAAACAACAGAGTTCAGGTTGTTAAAAATTTCATTGATACAATTTTGTTTATTAAATTCTGTTTTTTTTTCAGGATCTGCCACTAAATGTTACTTGTGTTCTTCTACCAAAGGCGACGGAAAGGATTGCGAAATTAACGTTGAAAAGGCGATTTTTGGAGAATGTATCGATCCTACAAGTTACTGTATAACAATTACGGTAAAAGGTAAGCACATAAAAAAAGTTGAGGTACAATTCTACTTATATGTGGTGTGTAGTATTTTATTTATTTCATTGTTGCGAAAAAATTAAGGGAATAAAAATATTTCATACATTTTTTAGTGATTTTTGAAACCAGAGACTTAAAGCCTCAAAACGGTTTTTTTTATCCCGACACTGAGATGCGGCCTTTCAAAAATTACTAAAAAATGTATTATATATTTTTGTTCCTTTAGGCAAAACAAAATGTATAAAATCAACCCCTTAAATAATTCTTATAAAAATATAAATAACAAATCCTGCTTCATCTATCTAAACTGTACATTTTCTTTTCTAGATGTAATAACCAGGACTTGCGCTCTAAAGAATATGTGCGATAGAGTAGAAAGCTACATCAGTTATTGTAAAATCTGTGACACAGATCTCTGTAATACCGACAGCGGCGTTTCTGTACCAGGCTACTCCACTTAGTTCCCTTGGCCTGTTCAGTTTTATGAAACTGTTTGTGTAGAACACCCTTTACGCATTACTAGTTGTTTGTTTGTTAATAAAATAATTTTTATATAATTTTTTGTCATTATTATCGTAATAGTAAATTTATGAAACATGTATTTTATCCGAGGATGTATAAATAAAAAAACATTCTTTGAGTTACTATTTTCCAATCTCTTTTTTTTAAGTGGAAGGTATTGACCGATCAGAATTACATACGATTCCCAATTTTTCCAGGTATCTTTCCATGATGTTCTGTGTCCAGTTGGAGGTTGCTAAGGAATATACACCACTAGGTCTGTAGTTATCCAAACACATAGTATTCCTTTTGGAACCTGGAACAATTTTTCCTAGTTTTAGAACTTCTGGAAATGCACCCGTTTCAAATGATAAATTTACAAGTATAAGGGGAGAAATAATAAAGCGAGTGACTCTCTTAATAAGAAACATAGGAATGCCATCAGCTCCTGACGAATTCTTATTTTTTAACTTATTTGTTAATAAAAGATACAATTCGTCTGTTGCGAAGAGTGTTAAAAATAAGGAGTTTATTTGTGAAGTCGATTTGCCCATGGAAGGTAAATTACTGACTGTTGGTATCTGACTGACTATACTTAAAGGAAATTTAACAAAATAATCGTTAAATAAATCTGCTACAGTATTAGGATTATCATGTAAAGGACCATATTTGCTGATTAAAATATTATTTTTGTTGTTTTTATTACATAAATTGGACATAATACTCCAAGCAGTTCGAGATTTATTGTCGGAATTAATAATCTTGTTTTAAGTACCTAATTTCTTTTAGTATTCATGATCAGCTGATGATATTTCTTTCCCTATTATATGTAACAGAGAATTCAGGAATACTTTCTTTAAGTAAAGAGTTCTTTGAAATACATACTAGAAATTCTTACTTCGCCCATTGTTTGTTAATATCCCTACTCTTATAAATCTTTCGTAGCGGAAAATATACTTCAAAATAATTACGAAATATATCAAAAAAGTAATTAAACGCAACGTTAATATTTTTTGGGTCATACAAGTTACCCGTCTTCTTTACAGAGAGCAGAAACAAAATTTAATATAGAACGTTCACTAAAATTGATAATGAATGAAAAATGATACACTATTACTGCTTACTTCCACTATAACTTATATTAGCTCAAACAAAACAGAACTATGATTAGTAAAAGCAATAAATTCCCGGACGACAATACAAACATTGAGTCCGGGAATGTGCTTTTACTACGAGGTACCACATACTATTTCTTCTGAAATCGCAGACATTATGAATTAATTAACTAGGAAATTTTTATTAATACATACCTAACATTTAGTCATTATAATCTAATTGCTTATGAAATCGTTTCCTTGACAATCATTGTTTATTTATTGTTGTGATAAAAGTCTAATTAGTTTATAAATACTAAAATATATTTAAAAATATTTAAAATGGACAGTAGTAATGACGTTCAGGTGGCTGAAACACCAACAGCTTACACCAGGAAAATTAGCGAAAATAAAAGAGAAACTCGAAAAAAGTCCTATATGCTGGATTATTGTAAAATTGTCTAAAGGAACATAATACGACATCTCTCGTCTTGTGAGTCAAAAACTTTTATTAGCTAACTTTTCTATTTAAACAAATAAATGAGGAAAACAGTTTTTTCACGAATGTATAAATCATTACCATGGAAAATACTTTACAGCAGTATACTTTCTCTAAAGTGACAGATAAATAGGTATTTTTTAAATATGCAACAATTTATTTTTTATTGTCTGATAATTCCTCAAAATATGCCAATAATATTATTACTGGTATGCAGCCGTCTGCCAATATATTCATTATAATAATTGTTTATATCACGAGGCACAACGCTAAGTATATAAGCCAGGTTATCGAAACTAAATAAACATGATCTTGTGGCTTAAAGCGTTACGCGTTGTTTTACTAATCTAATGGTTCAGGGTTCGGTCCCTGATGAGGTATGGTTTTTTTTCAATTAATATAATATTTCGAATGTAATTTTTCATCGTCCACATTTCAAGACAAATATTTCCGCACCAGTTNCTTGTATTATGTTCCTTTAGACAATTTTACAATAATCTAGCGGATAGGACTTTTTTCGAGTAAATATTTAATTTGCTTGGTCTAGCTGCAAAATATGTGACTTTAAATTTATTACCAAACAAATCTAGGGAGAAGTACGAATTCGTTTACAAACGTTTCAAGATTTATTGCCTTGAAAAAAATTCCACCTCCCGATCAGAAAATGATTACATGCTTTTCCGATTTATCTACAGTTGAAGGCATCTACGTTAAGGTCAAATAAGGACATAGATATATCAAAATATTTGAAATTACGTGTTTTCCTGAAACGTCAAGGCCAAAGAAGTCAAAAGATTTGTCAAATAAACAACTTGAAACCTATATTACTTAAGCACCAGATAATATACGGGGTACGACGGAAGACCACAGATTCGTGGACTCAAAATAGGCAGATTTAGGCTAATTCACCTACATCCGAAATTGCTTTGTTTGGACACTAGATGGCCTCAAAGTTCGTGAATATTTTTTGAATTTTGCAAATAACTCGAATACGTAGTATTCGATTTTGATTATTTTTGGGATGTGGACTTTTGCTCTCAATCTACACATTTTGGTGTTATACAGAGAGTTTTTTAAACTTACAACTCCTACAAAATTGATGTATAGTGATAGTATCCGTTCATAACTTTTTCATCTTTCGGGCAATAATGACAACTATTTTTTATTCGATAGGTAATACCATTTGGAAGTTTTTGGGCCTCTTGTAGATTTTTGATTAAATGAGCGGTTTGGGAACAAAAAAATATTTTTTAAATGTATACGTTATCTTGCCACTCATCGTTCTTCGTTCTTTATCGTTCTTTAAAATGTGCCTTGGTTTTTTGAAATCCATTAAGGTATTTAGAAGCTATAACAATTTAAAAATTTCAAGATGGTGTCCTTCATACTGACGTTACTACGCTAATAACAAAAAAAGATCAAACAAAACTTGTCAAGGGTTTACCAGTGAATCTAAAAAGTGTATTTTCAACTTAGATAATATAAGCGAAGTTTCGAAATAACAACAATGTTCTGTAACACTATAGCAATTGTGCCCCCTTTTTAGAGACAAAGATTTACTAATAGTAATAATATTATCGAAGAAGAAATAATTAACAGCAAAAGTACAGGCAATGTATAATAGTTGTACAAACTGCAACATAACTATAAATACAGGGTGGCCAAATGAAAACGAAACAGAGCCATTTTCAGGAACTGCGTCAAGATTGTAGAAAAACGCTCAGACCGGTCGATTTTAGATTAAAGGGGGACATTCTTTGCTGGTATTTTTGACTCCGCCACTTTCACCCCAAGCAAGGGTAAGCATCACCCCAAAATATTTAAATGGCATTGGGGGTTGAATAATATTTCTTTTGAAAGCTCTTACAATTTTCTTTACAACAGACTTTAAATTTGATAATTCCGCCCAATACTTATTAAGAATTTTGATTTTAAAGTTGAAACTTATGTTCAAACAATTAGTAACGGTAAAAATGTCAATAATTCAAGTTAAGTACGCCAATGGTATAAATTTAGTATTTCTTGCGTTACATTGGTTTTTGGCGATTTGTTATCACTTTCGTAAAAAAAACACAGTTTTAAAAAACAGAAATGATTGCTATACACACACAATGAACGTAAAATTAATGAATTCCAAATTATTTTCTAGTATTATTTTGGAAGCGTTGGTTGGTAGTTTATTTAATTGTGTTTTTGAAAATTAAACACTATGGTTTATTCCATTGCGGAAAGGGTAGAGATATCATTTCGCTTTACTTTATGAACAATAAATGTGCGAATAGAACAGCTCAGCTATTTAATGAACATAACATCAAGATCGACATGTCAGGAGGAAGTATGTTCTAGAGATAGTAAAAAAATTTCAAGAGACTGGGTACGTAGCCAATAAAAAACGAGAAATTGAAAAACCTATAGTTAATGGAGCTAGTGAAGTTGCAGTTTTGGGACAAAATCAATCGAATACAAACCATTTTGAAGAAGAATAAATTCTATTCATACAAAATACATTTAGTCCAGGAACTTCATGGGGATGATTATGACCGCCATTTGCAATTTTGCGAAATAATGAGTGCGCGAGCAGGGAACGATCCACAGTTCCTTTTTAACATCTGTTTTTCTGATGAATGTAGTTTTTTCTTGAATGGGGCGTTAAATCTTCACAATTGCCGCTATTGGTCCGATTCAAACCCAAGAGTTTTTCGCGAGGTGCATACACAGCAACCGGAAAACTGAAATGTATTGGCTGGAATTTTCCGTGACCGGCTGGTGGGTCTTTTTTTATTGACCCTATCTTGACTGATATTATTGAAAATGTTCCAGAGTATGATGAAGATCATTTGATTTTTCAACAGGACGGTGCTCCTCCGTATTATGCGTTAATTGTCCGTCAGTATTTGCACCAACGTTTCTACGGAATTGGATTGGGAGAAGAGGCAGCATTGAGTGGCCTCCACGATCACCGGATTTATCGTCCCTTGATTTCTTTTTGTGGGGATACCTAAAAAGTAAAATCTATAAGACACAGCCAGCGTCGCTGGAAGATTTGCGTCAAAGAATCGTCGACGAATGCCGTCGAATCACTCCGGAAATGCTTCGGAATGTGCGCGAACGTTTCGAACAAAATCTTTATTCTTGTATGGAAGCGGGCGGTCATCAGTTTGAACATTTAATCAACTAAGTAGTAAGTAAGCAACTAAACATAATTTAAATTTTAAAATGTAATTTTTTTTCAAAGTATTGGGGGGAATTATAAAATTTAAAGTCTGTAAAGAATTGTAAGAGCTTTCAAAAGAAATATTACTCAACCCCCAATGCCATTTAAATATTTTGGGGTAATGCTTACCCTTGCTTTGGGGTGAAAGTGGCGGAGTCATAAATACCAGCAAAGAATGTCCCCCTTTAATCTAAAATCAACGGGTCTGAGCGTTTTTCTACAATCTTGACGCAGTTCCTGAAAATTGATCTGTTTCATTTTCATTTGGCCACCCTGTATAAACAAATAGTTATACTAAACGTCTGATATCTGGAATACGTCAAAAAATGTTATATTTACTAAATAATGCATTTATGCGAGTTGGTTTGCCTGCGTGTATTTATGAATGTTTACTGTAAAAAATATAGATAAAAAACCGGTACAGGAAAGTCACTTTCCCGTATTGTAATCCATATAAATATTATTATCTAATCTTCTTTGTTTTGCAAATACGTTTGTCATATTGCGTAATTAAAAACAATTCTGGGTACCTCTTGCTGAAATCCTGCTAAAGTAATCCGCATGTAAAAGATTCTAGTTATTCCATAAATACGACACTAAGGCTACCTAATAATAAAACTAATCCTATACCAGATCAAGATAAAATAAACTTCTTTGCAATAATATCAACTGGAAAAACGTTTTAGACTTGGCTCAGAATTTTCTTTATAAAGATTTAGTAGATTAAGATTGAAGTAATCCAAATGCAGTTTAATCAAAACACTTAACAACAACAACAATAGACTGACAGGAGTGACAGGAGTGACAGGACCTACTACGATAAGCAAATAACCGATCAAAGGAATCATACATTGTAGGGGAAAAGCTAACAGGTTTGTTTGAATTTATATTTTGTTTTGTGTCAAAATTTGTAAGCTGTGGTTATTAAATTGTGCTAAATAAAGGAAGTTCGATACAATATTAAATTTTCGTGTTATTTACACCACACTCCACAAATGGCATATCCGTTGTGAAATTCTTTTATCTAATTTTGGAGTAAACAGTTCTAAAAACAACGTATTACCTTTGACTATAGTGTATATAGTTAAGGGTATTACATCAAATAAAGATTGCGTTATCCAAATACTCGATTGATAAATGGTGATTTTAGATATCGATGCTTATTTTTCTTGGTAAAATTAAATATTAAAATGAACTCAAATCTAATAGCTAAATGAAAAGATTATTAATTCAGAAAAGATAAAGTTGTATAATAAAATAATAATATAAAAAAGTTCACTTTCTACGAGGATCGACAATGGATGATTCAAAAAAGTTTCTCAGAAAGAAAGACAGAGTATACCCTATTTTAATGGGTTAGCATAAATAATAAAATTTAATATACAGGGTGTTTTGTAGCGAATGGACTATGCTGTAATGGTGTTCTTGAAGTCAACAACTTTTCTTGTCCTCGCATAGTTTTTGGGAATTATTGTTAGTAGCAACTATTTCAAATTCGTGTTTGAGTCAATGTTCAAAGTGACCATACCACCATTTACTTCTATGCGTTTCCTACATCGTTTTAACACATTTCTCCTGCCATTCAAAAAGTATCTGATCTACGCCCTCTGTATACACAAGATTGTTGATGTAGCCCCAAAAGTAAGTCCATTGGATGTAAATCCGGACTAGGAGGTGGCCATTGATTGTCGCTGTCTCGTCCGTAACATCGGTTGAGAAAAAACAGTAGGTATTCGAGGTATTCTAGACTTCCATTGGATAAATATTTAGTGATACATCTTCCAATGACTGGAATAAACGTACGAAAGTTCAAATAATGTCAAGTCACTCAGCAAGCTCGGTAGGACCAATTAAATGAATGTCAAATATTCCAAACCAAATGTTCATTGTGAATTCGTGTTGAAAATGGCTAATCCAAATTTCATTCGGATTCTCATTCGACCAATTTCTATTTTGTTGAGAATAAATCGAAATCATACCTTTCAATTATTTGCTAAATAAGTTGTGACGAGACATTTTTATTAAATGTGCTTTATTTGCTTTAAAATTATTATTAGGACCGAGATTTTAAAAAAGCTAAATATTAGGAAGAAGGCAACAAGCAAATTTCAAATTATTGTCAATAAAACTCATCTCTAACAGACCTAAGGTAGACAACTTGATTTTTTTTATGGTTATTTGTTTCACTGCAAAATTAAACTGCTTTTTTTCTCTCGCAACCGGATGCTCCTAGCGATATCAACAAAGATTACCTTTTATTCGTAGAAAAATATTCGTTTCAAAACACCATGTATAATATAAATATATACAGGGTGTTAATGAACTTATGTCAAAAATTTAAAGGGGTGAAAAAGAAGCAAAAACTGAGTTAACTGATGTCACAAACTTGTATCGGAAGTTTAAGGTCATAGAGGAAAAAAGCTAATTAAAAATGTGTTTAAAACTGTTTTTGGAACTGCTGAAATGCATGTATTTTATCGCAGCGAGTACTTACAAAAAATTCTGTAACACTTTTTACGAGTTTGTAGGTTTCTTATAAAGCCCGACTCTATTTGAAAGTCACTGTTGTAGTGACTGCTGTGCTGTTTTTCGATAATATATTTAATAGCCGTATTTCCAAGTTTTCTTTTGAAAATGGCGAATTTATTTAGCAATCGCGAATATTCTCATAATTTATGGCGGAGCAAACGAAAATGGCTACAGAGTTTGTCAAGTGTACCGTGCAAGATATCCTGAACGATGTACCCCCACACCGCGAACATTTCTTACTGAGTGTTGAAGAGTTTTGGAGGGCGGTGAAGTACAACACTGCTATTATTTTAATCGAGAAAAACTGCATTCATCAGAAAAACAGTTGTTAAAAAAGAACCGTGGATCGTTCCCTGCTCGCTCACTCATTATTTCGCAAAATTGCAAACGGCGGTCATAATCATCCTCATGAAGTTCCTGGACTAAATGTATTTTGTATGGATGGAATTTATTCTTCTTCAAAATGGTTTGTATGCTAGTTCGATTGATCACAGACACAGATGCCAGCTGCCTCGTACTTAATGTAGGATCAAGATGAACTTGTCCCAAAACTGCACTAGCTCCATTAAATATAGGTTTTTCAATTTCTCGTTTTTCATTGGCTACGTTCCCTGTCTCTTGAAATTTTTTTACTAACTCTAGAACATATTTCCTCCTGACATGTCGATCTTGATGTTGTTCATTAAATAGCTCCGCTGTTCTATTCGCACATTTATTGTTCATAAAGTAAAGCGAAATGATATCTACCCTTTCCGCAATGGATAAATCATAGTGTTTAATTTTCAAAAACACAATTAAATAAACTACCAACCAACGCTTCCAAAATAATACTAGAAAATAATTTGGAATTCATTAATTTTACGTTCATTGTGTGTGTATAGCAATCATTTCTGTTTTTTAAAACTGTGTTTTTTTTACGAAAGTGATAACAAATCGCCAAAAACCAATGTAACGCAAGAAATACTAAATTTATACCATTGGCGTACTTAACTTGAATTATTGACATTTTTACCGTTACTAATTGTTTGAACATAAGTTTCAACTTTAAAATCAAAATTCTTAATAAGTATTGGGCGGAATTATCAAATTTAAAGTCTGTTGTAAAGAAAATTGTAAGAGCTTTCAAAAGAAATATTATTCAACCCCCAATGCCATTTAAATATTTTGGGGTGATGCTTACCCTTGCTTGGGGTGAAAGTGGCGGAGTCAAAAATACCAGCAAAGAATGTCCCCCTTTAATCCAAAATCGACGGGTCGGTGCGTTTTTCTACAATCTTAACGCAGTTCTCTGTTTCGTTTTCATTTGGCCACCCTTTATACCATACCAGTAATTAATAATTATCTAAAATAAAAATTAAAAATGGTATATCTAAATATAATTAATTCAAAAACACATACCTGACATGCTGATATCAATGGATAAAACGATTTTTCAAAGAAATATTATTATTTTAGTATTATTTTTTCTAGTGGCTACCTTGCAAATGGAATTAATAAATGTTAATGGAACTGAATTATATACAAAAAACTAAAAGATGCCTAATTGCGTTCCTCCACAGATTTTGTCCATTTTGATGAGGAATTAAATAGAATTAGAAACATTAACGTAAATTAAATTTGATCTGCAATCATGATTAATTAAAGATAACTAGATAACTAAATAACTAGATAACTAGATAACTAGATAACTAAATTATTATCTAAAGCTTTGCACCAATCCCATATGTAATATTACAAGTACTTAGTAACAATTGAGCAATTCCAATAATATATTTTTTTGCGAAATGGCTCTTTTGATTTTTACTAGAACTTTTATCTAATTGTAAGGTCACTCTGAAAACGTATTAGCGATCTTATCTATTTTTGCCCCGTATAAAAACCCTAGCAGAGGAAATTCAAGTCAGTTTCGTGTGGTTCTAGCGGCTTGACTATACCAAAGTACAAAATATCAATATGAAGGGTCTAGCAGGGCTAATTTTGTTCGTTTTCGTTGTTAGTGCCAGTTTTGATCTAGGTGAGTGAATTTAATTTAAAAAAATAACGTTGAAACATGCCGTAATTGTTTTCTATCGTCTCTAATAAAAAATCCACCAGTTTAAGATCTGCCCGTCTGGGTGGCCATCCCCTTTTAAACAACAGAGTTCAGGCTGTTAAGAATTTCATCGATACCATTTCTTTTATTAAATCTCGTTTGTTTTCAGGATCTGCCACTAAATGTTACATTTGTTCCTCCAACAAAGGCAACGGAAAGGATTGTGAAACAAACGTTGAAAAGGAGTTTTCTGCAGAATGTATCGATCCTACAAGTTACTGTATGACAATCGTTATAAAAGGTAAGCAGATAAAAAAGAGTGAAGCTACAATTCTACTTATGGTGTGGTGTTTATTTAATTCTTAAAATAAACTCTTTAAATAAACAACTCCGTGCACTAAAAGGGTTCATTTTATAAATTTTATTTTGCTTAACTTAGTTTCTATCCCGACATGACCGTTTTTCACTAAGATACATCCCTTCAAAAATCACTAAAAAATGTAATGAATGAAATGCAATATTTTTGTTGCTTTAGGCAAAACTTAATTTATATAATCAACCCACTGACTGATTCTTTTGGCGCAAGATATCTTAGATGCTTTTGCAAATGTTTTCAATTTTCCAATTTCGTAAATATTTTTTTTACATAACGCGAATCCGTGTTTTACTCAACAACTTTTATTAAGACAGTTTTTCGATATCCCTTCCCTTTCAAGAGATATAAGACAATATGTATAAAGACATGAAACACTCCCAAATCAAGTCCGTACTAGTCCAAGCAAATTAAATTTTTACTCGAAAAAAGTCCTATCCGCGAGGTTATTGTAAAATTGTCTAAAGGAACATAATACAAGACATCTCTCATCTCGTGTTTCAAAAAATTTTATTAGCTAACTTTTCTATTTAAACAAATAAGTGAGGAAAACAGTTTTTTCACTTTGCATGGGAAACCATCAATTTTAGCGAAAAGTGACTCACAGACAGCTTATAGGGAGTATAATTATCTACAAAATTGTTAAATTAAAATCGGTTAATAAACAAAGAAGTTATTGCTAAAAAAAATTAATTATAAAAGATGCATTTTTTCTGGGATTCAGGGCTATTCTACAAATTCGTAAATATGCCCATTGTAATTTTTTCGTCGAGCCACCCCAGTGGAAAAAAAATAAGTTTCTACGATGAATAGAAGCCGAGATTTTGCAAAATTTACAGAGCGCATCAATTTGAACTTTGGAATTAACTTTTCTCGCGCGCGCGACCGCTTGGACGAGCTTCCCCCACCACCACGCCGCCGGCCGCCGGACAGTTTACTTAGCGAGTACCTTCTCTTTAAAGGGCTCGTGAGTCGTTAATTTTCCACATTTTTCAATGCAATTCACGGGAAATCGTAGTTTACGTCGTAAACTTTATTTTGCGAAAAATTCAAGTCTTAATATTTATAAACAATTGCGCTACGATTT